GAGCGAGATATTCCTCACGACGGCGAGGAGACACTGGGGACTCTGCAATGGTCTCCAAAGGCTCATTAACGTACTCATACTGAGGGCGTTGTTCGACCATATCTGGCGTAGGAGGAAGCTCCCTAGCAGGAGCGGGCGGGAGTGGGCGGCTTCGACTGCGAGAGGTTGAACGGGAACGGTGATGGTGGTTTCTACCACGTCCGTACTCAGCCATATGCTCAGCCATCCGCTCTAAGCCCTGTGAATGAGGTCTCGTACGTCTGATGGACTCGACCCATTCATGGGTGCGATCCTCCCCGTCCTATGTACTGGTTCATTAGCTGCTCATTATGCGGAAGATAGGAGAGGTGTACTCACGTCACTGGATACACTCTTACCTTCAAACTCGGAAGCGACAAACTTGTCGAAAGCTCGCAAAGCCGCTTCGCGTTCCTCTTTCCTGCCTCTTTCTATCCCTTCGTTGAACCCTTCGCTCCAACCGATGTTCTTCCCCTCTTCGAATCCAGCAAGGCGACCCGCGTTGTACCCTTCGGATCGCCCGTCGGTGTACCCATTGTCGTGTCCCTCCTCGTAGCCTTCAGCATGCCCTGCTTCATATCCTTCGGCTCGTCCGTCTTCGTATCCATCTTCCCTCCCATCGTTATACCGCCTGATAAGCTCCAACTTCCTGCCTTCCTCCCGTCCCTCCTCTCTGGCTTGCCACTCTCTCAACGCCTGCTGAGCTCTCCTCGCAATCCCCCTCTCTTCGGCGAGAGAACGCTCGAGATCATCCTTTGCTCTCTCCAGACGAGTGACATCGTTCTGCATCTTTCTGAGGTCACGCTCCATAGATTCAAACTGAACTCGATAGCGAGTCAGCTCTTCCTTCATCCGGACATTGTCAAGCTCAGCTTGATGTTGTCCTGCTTCAGCCCTCGTCATCTTGGACATCATCTCTCGGAGCTGACTCTCAGCGGTGAAGGCTCGCTTCTCCGCTTGATCTGCTCTACGCATTTCATGCTCGAGTCGCTCTCCGGTGTTACGAAGGACAGCTTTGAGATGATGAGCCTGGCGCTCTTCCTCGGCCAATACGAGGGTGAGGATGCTGGCTGTCTCAGAGTCCTTCTCCTTTTCCTTCTTGGAGGTCTCTTTACTGCTAGCGCTGCGGTCGCGTGAGGCAGTGCTTGCTGACCCTCTTCGCTTCTTGTGCGCCAACAGGGACTTCAAAGCGACAGGATCATGAAGCAACTCTGACAGCGGAGTAGGCGAGTCTGTGGCTTCTCTGACTTCATGCAGAGAGTCGTAATCACTGTGACCAAAGTTCAACACGAAGCTGCACGGGGGTAAAAAGGTGTGGGGCAACACTCACCTGAAGGACGTCAGTTGACTGAACTGACTCAATGGGGAGCGGTAGCCATCTGCAGTGACAGACATATTGGATGAACAGGAAGGAGTACTGGGGGACGATGCTGCGGTGGTTAGGCTTTAGAGCCAGCACATCGCAGGGGTGCCGGGTAAGGCAGGCTATTATCTTGGAAGATTCGCGACAGCAAAGCGCAAGCTACCTCTCAGTATAATCGAGGGGACATTCGCCTAGAGCTCATGCACGCTGCATACACGTGTGGATGTTGTAAGATGGCCGTCGTCGTGTCAGTCAACCCTGAGAGGAAATGCTGAGCCGGGAGGCGAAGCCGAGCAGGCTTGATATGAGCAGCTGAGAGTTGATTACGGCCCAAACCTCCGACCGAAAGGCACCAGCGGCATACAGTATACATTGAGGTTTCATTGGATTAATGCGAGACTCAGATAGCCGTTGCCAGGCTCGGCGAAAAAATACTGTAGTAGACCATCAATACGAGTTTGTAGCAATCTGACAGCTTACCAGGAGACGTACTCTTATGTAGACAAAAGGACTTGATAGTAGCTGTGATTGGATGATGTTTGCTTCGTGAGTATTGGTACTTAGCTACATACATACGAGCCACATGCCCAACTACTTGTTGAACCACGCGGTTGAGTCTTTGGTATGATCAGGGTGAGTATGATGATGCTAAGTCTGTGTGAACTCCTATGTGGTGTCGCCCTTCAAAGCTTCGACAGTATGGTTCGTTGAATTGAGGCTTGTTGAAGCTGGAACTCGAAAGTGCACGTGCCGCGGAGCGCGCTACGCGCTTATTGCTAGGCGATAAAGCTTTAAAGTTCCACGAAGCGCAAGATGAGATTGGCATTCAAAGATCTGTTCGTCAGATCTTCCTCCTCTTTCGACGGCAGGCGTTGGTCAGACTCGAATACCATGCACCGAAACCTCACACCTCCTCAGATCTCGGACCTGAGTGCTGAGTTTCTGTACCTATGTCAAGGATCCTACGTGTATCACTCTCAACAACTCGTCAGCGCGGCCATCATCAGGCCAAGATCGGGCCTCAACGCTTCATGAAGGGAGGTTCACATCATTCACCCAAGGCTTTGTACTTATGGTCAGTCCTGACTCCGACGTCGGATAGGACAGACATTTTCCTCGGGCCTTAGACGTCTGTTTTTCTGCGCAGTCCCCCTGGCCTCACTGGAGGCGATAGTATCTGTACTAAATCTGACAAATCATTACTCACTGGCAGTAGTCCTGGACGCGTCGACGTCTCAATGTGACATATCCTATTCATCAGTACGTTCTTCGCAGACAATATGTCCTCCAAAATTGAGGCTTTGGTGGCCCATTCCGTGCAAATGTCATGCCACTGGAGCATACCTGGTATCATCAATGTGCCGGCGGTATGACAGATTTCCTGTGTAATTAAGATGTACACAAGGATTTCCGCATCCAGGCCACATTCCAAGGATATATGCTATGCTGCTGGACTATGACTGCGTTCGCCTCGGAGTTCAAAGCTGATGTTATATGAGTTAAGCTATCCACAGTCTACGGGTCAGGACAGTGGTGAAGCATGCTTGATCGTGTAAGTGCAAGGCACTAATTGGGCATTGACCACTGAATGGAGCCGTTCTGACCATGGAGGACAAAAGGAATGCATACTGGCCTATAAAGTCTGTATATCGGACAGTCAGCACTTCAGTCTTCTACACCTTCCCCCCGCATACCATACAGCCGTGAAACAATGTCAGTCAGCTTGGATCCAGAAGAATTCACCTCACTTGTGTATGTTTATCATCCATACATGCCTACTATGCGCATATATCAATCTAATTATATCCATTTTCATAGGTCGGAAGTTCGGTTGTATGCCTACTTTTTGTTGGCTGCCACTAGTAAGCTAGCTGCCACTCTATCAGCTGCCTTTGTCTCCGGCTTACATGAGATCTAGCGGCGATGTTATATGATGTTTGCCTGATGCTTCCAGACGAGATTGTCTTTGTTTGGAGACGCAAGTGGTCCCTTCTGACCACTCTTTACTTGATCATACGATATTTCACCCTGTTCAATATGGTGATGCAGCTTGCATTGGAGATAGTGCCCTTCAAGAGTGTATATGTGCGTCGTCTTCGTCCAGAAGTGGCTTATATTTGCTCACGTCAATCATATCACACAGAGGTCAGTATGAATTCTCATTGCAGGCAATGTACCATTTATGAGCTAGCTTCAGCTGCAAAATTGTAACGTACCTTGCTTTTGGACTGGATGCATTATCCATGATTGCGGTAGCCGGTGAGTCAATCAAGTCTAAAAAATGTCTCTGAGGTGATAACGAGTGAGGCCTCCACAGTATTCGGTACCGTACGTGTATGGGGCATCACCGGGAAAAGATACCTCCCAGCTCTGCTTGTCTTTGTGCCAAGTATTTTTGTCCCAGCAATTAATATAGTGAGTCATGCAGTTGATCTGAATGGCCAACAGACTGACGATTCATAGTACGGCTACACCATCCCGGAGTCATGGAGTATCATTTTCGGTGGTCCTGTTGCAGGATGTTATGCAGAAGGGGCAGGGCCTTCATTTCACTAGTGTGTACTTCACCAGCATGTCACTTATTTTATGGACACTGACAAACTCATTCCAGCTGTGAGTGTATAAAAGAGCTTCTCGATCATGGTATTCAGCTCATCTCTATCTGCAGTTCCCATTGTCACGCATGCTGTCTCTGTCTTTGCCGATGCTCTCATCTTGTTCTTCTCTTGTAAAGATGCAGTTTGTTTGGTCCGTGACATGGGACAATTGTCGAACTTCTCCCCGGCCCTATCCAGGCAAATTATCAAGAATGGTTTGTTGCTCTTGCAACGTGGTATTTTGAGTCACTGCTGATGTCCTCGCACAGGTTCTGCACAGTTTGGGTAAGATCGTGCACAACATCAAAAGACTGCAACTAAAGAAAGCGGAAATTCAGAGCAATGCTGGCACTGAACAGTATCGCCATGGCCTTTGATGTCGCCTCTGTCGCTACAGACGTGAGTCCTTTCTCCGGCTTAATGGCATGTACCTGACTATATGCACCCACAGAACACGATTACTTTTGCATCGGAGTTCATTTGGATCAACATCGCGTGAGCACGAGCAGCCCATCAACTTACCTGCACCTCCCAAACAGCTGACTGTCTGTATCCTCCGTTGGCAGAGTGTCCTCAATCCTTGTGTCGCGCTTCCTCTTGGAACTCCGTTCCGTCGCTCAAGGCGGTTTCCGCCTTACTGACCATGACAACGAATTTGGAGGAATGTCTAGCATTCAATTCCATGATATGTCCCCGCTAGATATCAGTATGTCGGGAGATTGCCACCCAGGTGAAGAAACCGATGCGCCGGCCATGCTTCCCAATATCAATCACTCTATCCTGACCGACTCGGATGCGCCGCCACCTCCCTGTGTAGAGCTTTCCCAAGCATAGAGGTGGGTGTTATGGCATGAAAGCATCTCGGTCAATGTGACTCCTCACTCCAGGCTACATGAAGGCTATGTATGAACATCATGATTGTATTGTACAAGATCTAGAGACTGTAATTCTTCGCATTTCTTTCGTATTCTCATGCAGAGTGTCGCTCGTTTGATATTGATTGTTTGCAAACCGTGAAAAACGGTGCTATAGTGTAGTGGTTATCACTCGGGATTTTGAAATTATCAGCTGATGATCCTTAGGTTCCCGAAACCCAGGTTCGAACCCTGGTAGCACCTTTTCACTTTTTCGTGTTTTAGAGACGGTTTGTCTCATTTTTATCTCCCTAGTCTGGTTCAGTCAAGCAACCATAAGATAGAGAATTAGGATAGCAACAAGATCAAAATCCAAAGGTACGCATACTTTATACGACGTGAACAGTAGGCACCACGGAGGTATCGGCCATGAGAATAGTTACACAATGGATATACTACAGGTAATGCGGATAATAGGTTAATCATCATAGAATACAAGTAGTCGCAATTCGATGGATTCCCTCAAAGGTGCGTCTGGAGGTGTGGTCGGGTCGGAGAATGCGGTATGCGGTGTTAAAATAGCGGTCTTTCCATCATTTCTAGAGTCAAAGCTTCGCGGAGACATGTCAGATTGGAATAAGGCGCAGCTGTAGTCGAGGATACTAGACATACCACTTGATGAGCACGAACTCTTCGGGGGTCATGCCCCTCACGTACTTCCACCTGTGACTCGGATTGAACTTCACGCCAAAGGTCTCCCCATCTCTATCCGGATACTTCAGTGTGAGGGGAACGAGATCGCGCTTGTAGTCGATGCTGCGGTAGTCGCAGAGTGCAAGAGGCCAGTCGAGGGCTGGCTTACCGATGGGCCTCCATAGATTGATAATTTGGAAGCGATGTTTCAAGAGCTCTGGGGCATCAGAAGCGGGAAGGTGGCGGTGGACACGAGCAACGGAGGATTCAGGTGTCTGATCAACGTGAACCTGGGGCACAGGCTGACGTTTCTGAGGACTATCGTCGATCTCGCCGGGGCGGCGACGGCGGATTGCTGTAGAGGAATGAGAGACGTTAGGCATACAATTTTGCATCGAACAAGGGAGACGCTTACTATGATCGAAAGGGACGATTCGACTTGCACCGGTGATTCTCTTGACCAACTCGATGCTTTCGGGGTAGTATTCCCTTTCTACTTCCTCATCGTTCGCAAAGGAGGTGTGCTTGGCAGCCTCCTTGCCATAGTGGAAGCCAGTAGTATCAAGTGATACCGTGTGTTCTTTGCCTCGCAAATTCTCGATGTCGATTTCATGTGGATCGAAGTGCCAATTACGATGCCGTTCCCCGGTGACGGGATCAGCATTAATGTGCGTGAAAGGTTTCGAACCGTCGTCGGGAGGTGCAAAGTAGATCAAAGTCGACTTGACGGTATCTGCCATGGTCAAAGGTGTGAGGGCCTGAGATGAATGAGATGGTTGGATGATGTGTAACCAGTGTGAATGACGCTATGCCCCCCTGGCTTCTCATCCCACCTTTATAAGTGAGCCGGTCACTGCTTGACGAAAGGGATTAGGTTGAATGGCGTGCTCCCGTGCTTACTCATAACCTGTTTCCTTTCTGCGAATCATAGGAGACCCACATCGACCGGTGAGTGAATAAGCAACCTTTAGATCGCGTTGGGACACAGGCGGGCGCTCCGGGGAGGGGTTGACTAAGCGGGACCCCGGGCAGCGGAAGCTGAATAAGGAAGTGGCACATCTCCCCGGTGTGACTGAGTGCCCCGACATTCGCTATTCAGTTTTCTCTGTCCCCTGCACTTCAAAAATCTTGTAAATATATGTATAGACTCTTTATAACATACGCATACATATGAAAATCAGTGAACAGTAGGGGGACAATAGGGAGCAATACAGAGGTGACATTTTTGTCCCCTTGCCTAAGCTCCGGATCCTTCCTATGCGCAAATCGCGTCGCAGAAGGCTTCTTACACCGCGCGCTGATGCGCGCGAGCTTCTTTGAGCTCTGGAGCCCTCACGCGAGGCCTCTGGATCTTGCCGGGTGCCTCAAGCGTGTCCCATGAAGAAAACAGCACCTTTACTCTTCATGGGACACGCTTGTTTGCCTCGTGTCCCCACTGTACGAGCCCCTCGGGAGAGCTCTAGCGTGTCCCATGAAAAATAAGACGTTTAGGTCTCCATGGGACACGGAGAGGTGCTCCCAGATCTTTTTCTGCCGCCGCCAACTATCCCCTCCAATTCTCGGTGTGATCTGGCCTGGAAGCGGTCAGATCTGGTGTGCGACCATGTGCCTGTTGACTACAGGTATACCCACGGTGCTCTCACATTCTTGGCATACCTTGGGGATATTGCCTTTTCTGCCTGACACCTGCTCTTCTTGCCCTGGCCTGTCCCCTCCTTATGACGCATTTCTATATCATTTTCATTTGTGTTCTGTATATTTCTACTGAGTGTATAGGCTGGGAAAGGTTGCTTTGCTGGCACAATATGTACAGTAATAATATACCCATGCAGTACTTATTTTACAAGGGCAAGTGACAGCTTCATAGAAATATAATCCGCCTTTTTCCTGTATTATACGCGTAGCTCCACTGTGTTCCGATCGCGTCGCGACGCGTCCGTGACATGTCACAAACGGGCAGAGTCCTACCCGAAAAGGTAATGCGCGCGGCCGCGCGCCCGAAAAATCCATCGTTGCCCCCGCCTTTCCCATGTTGAGCAGAGGAGGCGCAGGCTCGGGGTCCCAGCCGCTGATGTAACCGGTCACGTGCACTTCCCGTGTCCCGGGACACGGACTTGCGCGGAGCGCCCGTTAGCGCTCGTGTCCCATGAAAGAGAAGCAGTGGGAAACGTCGTCCTAGAATGTTGCGCAGTCGGAACTGCCCACACAATTCAGCCAGAGTGACTCGGCGTTGCTCGTCGCTGAACAAACGGATTGCGCCTGTAGTGAGTCATGACTCATAAGACTCACAACATGGATGACTTTCCGTAGGCCGATCTAGGATTTAGGATCGCTGCTCAGTTCAACCCCAGACAGTGCCGGACCCCGGCAGCCCCTCGGCATGATGATCCTCCGCTGACTTCAGCAGATTGTCAGCAGGGCTGTTCAACGACAGTCTGAAATGAACTCCCCTCGTGACCGCGACACGCGACACGATGACATCGCGCACTACGCGTCTCTTCTCATTGCAAACACTTGGACGCCCGAACCTCTTCCCTTCTCTATCGACCACCACCTCGAGCTCCCTCTCGCACATGCTGTTGGCCCCTTCACATCATCGACAATTCCACCTGCTACAACACTGGACGGTGTACGATTGCTTCATCCAGGTTGTCGCGCAGATGCACTCGTTGCAACCGTTGTAACGGTGACCAGCACCCCGCGCGGGGCGTGTCGGGCGATGACCGGGTGGAAGCGGGTGTTGCTCGGGCGATTTCTTCCGATATCCGTAGTGTACTGCAGTTGTCTGGAGCATTGTTGGATAGAGTTTTGGCAAAGTAACCTGGTGGCCCAAGTGCTACTTTGCCATAATGCAGCCCTCGAGACTTTCTCCGAAGTACCCGCGTTCTGCAGGCTGGCATCTGATTGGCTAGCGGGCTGCTTCGCGATCAAGTGACTCTCAAGGTTTAGGGAGAAAGACATCGGGAGAGCGGCAAGCTCTCTTGTTTCGAACTACGAAAGAGTGAACATTGCCATTTATGGCTAGAAAATCGTCTGCCGGAGCTGCCGTTCAGTGTGAACGGTCGACCTAAATCCTAGATAGGCTACGGAAAGTCATCCCATATTGGAGGCTGACAGAGACTTGTGAGGTCTTGGGCTGCCAGCACTAGGCAAGAAGCTCGCTATGAAGATAAAAGGGTAAAATGCAATATATAGCCCAAGAAGTCGTCAATGAGTAGATCCCAAGGGATATGATCGAGTAAAGTTGACTCTTGAGATCTTGAGAGAGCAACTTGAGAGCAACTTGAGAGCACTCCCGAAGTTAACAAGCAGTCTGTCCATTGTCTCCCATGTAATATTGGCAATGAAGGTCCGATTGCCATCGCTGCCTTGGCGCAATGGTAGCGCGTCTGCCTCCTACTAGCGGGACTTGAACCCGCCTAGTAGTGTCAGCAGAAGGTTGCGGGTTCGAGTCCCGTTGGTAGTATCGGGTTGCATCCTTTTTCGTTGTGTTTTAGTCCGAGAACGTGTAGGTGCCCGAAGGTACCCGACCGTGGATTTGAGTAGATGAGGAGGCTGAAGCTGGGTGGGTGGTTCTGCGAAGCCCTGCGAGGCCTAAAGTGGAAAAGCGCCCCTCGTTTCGTATAGCCCATTGCTCAAGCGCCCAAGCTCACAAGACGGAACCCCGAATTGATTGCTATATTTCATCGCTCATTTTTGGTCTTCGCAATGCTCTCACAATCGTCGCGCATGTCCATGGTCATCTGGTCTCGGGTCCTCGGGAGGACGGCAGAGCTAAATTACATCTTTACCTCTCTCTAGACTCTGAGACGTCTGGTGTTCCCATCTTCCTTCTCTAGAGAGGTAACTTGAACGCGCAGTGCTCTTTGAGTCTTGTCTTGTCTGGACCGATTACCATGTCTGCTACCGCTATTCCCCCCATCACGAATGATGCCCCGTTAGAAGAGAAAGTAAGCACGGCCAAGAACCCGCAGTATGGTCTCAAGCTGGTCGGTGCAGCGTTCAGCAGTAGGTTTGCTTGTGGTTGATGTTGTGTGCACTATTGGAACCGTATGAATGACCTATCCATCCTTGATTGACAGATATGTTCGCATCGGGTGTCAGCAACCCGCTAGATATCATCAAAGTAAGTTATATCATGCCGACTTAAATTCCCCCAGTTGGTATTGAACGGGGGCTTTGAATATAGGTGCGGCAGCAATTGCGAACACAGAGTAAGACCAAAATCCAAGAATGCGATGTTAGACTTCATTGACAATATCAATCAGCTCCAGGAGCGAAAGCTAATGCGTTCTGGGTGGTTGGCGTGGAGATGGCTCGTACCGAAGGTGTACGGAGTCTAATGGGAGGTTTCACAGCGAGCATGCTCCGCGAGATTGTATATTCCGGTCTCCGACTCGGTTCGTACGAGTATTTCAAAGACAAGTATGTCAAATTTAGGAAAACATCTGGGTACACGAAGCACAACGCTGACATGAAATTCACTGACAGAATATACTCTGCATCCAAGGGAGCATTGACAAGGGAAGGGTTGGGGTTGAAGGTGGCTGCGGCTACAGTTGCTGCTACCATTGGGTCGTGAGTGGTTTCCATCCCCCAACATTCTTCCCTTCGAGGCAGTATCTAAGATGCCGCTCCTCGTACGTCCGCAAGTGCACTTGCGAACCCTGCAGATCTCGTAAAAGGTGAACTTCGTCCTCCCATTTCGGCTTATCAAGCTTCTTATAGAGACTGAACTGACTTTCGGAACTTGGCCACAGTTCGCATGCAGGCGTATTATCCTGAAGGCAGACCATACCGGAATACAGCACATGCATTCGCAGCTATATGGCGAGAAGGGATCCCCTCCTCCTCCTCCTCATCATCATCATCAGCCACAGGGCCTTCATTCCTATCATCGCTCCGCGGTGGCCTGCGTTCTCTATATCGTGGCGTGGACGCAACGACCGTCCGAGGGATAGTCCTCTCCACATCTCAGATCTGTTCATACGACCAGATCAAGCAAACGATGAAGAGAAAGGGGATACTCGAGGAAGGCCTCGCTTTACATCTCACTTCGAGCATGTTTGCTGGGTTGATTTGCTCGATTACTTCGAATCCAGTCGGTGCGTCTCAACCAGTGAACTACTAGTTTGAAGTACATGTGTGGACGAGCTGATGTGTTTACGATTTCTCGCAGATGTGGTTAAAGTTCGGTTGATGACTGATAAGAATAGAGAGATTAACGGCGTGCTTGATTGTGTGAGGAAAATCATGGTGAACGAAGGCCCGCTCGCGTTCTTCAAAGGATTTGGGATGTGCTGGGGACGGGTACGTCCTCATTTTTCCTACGTATACATTCAAGTTCACAGCCAACGTATCCTGACTACCCATTACTTTTCATAGCTGGGAACACATACGATAGTCAGCTTCCTCGCCTTTGAGCGTATCCGACTATTACTGGGAATCGACCCGATGTAAGACGACCCACGAGGACACAGTGACCGTGACGACAACAGTTTTGGATTAGAATAACAATACAATTTACACCTTGCCATTACGACCTAGTCCTCAAGATTAAGTATTACATTTCGTTATCGTTATCGAGCGAGGGCAATCAAGAAAAGGACAGAACGAGCGGATATATGCGTCTTTGAGGGGACGGGGATTCGAGGAAGGTAAGTCGAGAAGGAAGGGAAGAGTACAACATAGAACGAGATGACAGACAATACATAGCCATGGCGAGAAAACAGAAAAAAACAAGACATACCAACAGCGCATCATAACTTAACAAATGCAATTCACAGGTCCGTCCTAGGCGACTCGAGCCGTTACAACGAGTAACGGAAATCAGGATGACGATCGCCCAACTCGGTCCAAGCCCTCTCCCCACCATCGATATGGGAGGGTTTGTCCCACTCGAGGTAAGGTTCGAGTATCTCTTCTCGTCGTTCCACTTTCTTGCGATTCTCCCGTGCCAGGTACAGTGCATTGCACGCAGAACCAATGACCACCACGATGGAGCTGAAGATGGATAGAGGAGTCATTGTTAAGAGTCAGTCGGTGGTCGAGGTGATTTGGGACTTACAAGATCAAGTTCATGATGGTCGCTCGTTTGAACCTCGGGCCTTCCTTTGTGGGGAAACTCCAGGTACTCAAGACACCGCCCTACGCAGAACCCATTAGCCCAATTCTCCATATGAACCTACTTTGAATATCACATACCGCATTCGTTGCTACGAACCCAATGGCAACGCTCGTAGCCCGTCGATAATACGGTTCCGAGTTGTTCGCCATCCAAGCGGCTATAATGGGAGCCGTTGCGTAGGCAGCCGGGACGGAGAGGAAGAGAGAGCCGTATGCTACCGCAACGTGACTCGAAGCTAATTCGGTACGTATCCCAAACAGTAATTGAGTATATTGGAAACTGAGTTGGGGATGTTCGTGGGGGACTTACAGAGGTAGATGCCGAAACCTATCGCGGCGAGGCTGGCGATGATCATAATGGGGATCGCACGGGACCTTACACGGTCTGAGATATATGCGCTGGCAAGTGTAACTGCGAAGTAGGTTTAGACGACCATCACGGGTTCAACGAAATGCGAAAGGTACATACCAAGGAACCCAACAGCGAACGGACCAACACTGATCAATTGGGTCTTTGTAGGGCTGAAACCCAGCTGATGGACGATGGACGGTAAAAACAAGGCGAGACCGTAGATCGTCGTGCCATTGCAGAAGTATATGATGAAGACCATGATGACTTGGGGAGAAGTCAGGGAACGGAAGACCTCCTTGATACTGAAACGGTCATTGATGTAGGTCGTTGGGCGATCTCGAGCAAGGCGGGCTACCAAGATGCTGAAACGAAGATATACCCATTAGGATCGTAAGTGCATATAGTCGAAAATAAGACTCACTCTTTCTGACGGTCTGTCAAGAACCTGGATTCTTGCGGCGTTGAGGGGACCAAGAAGAAGGTAATCAATCCGACGATGCTCGTTACTAGTCCTTCCTATAAGAGCGATTACTGATGTTTCTTTGAGAGAGCAAGAGACGAACGTACGATGATGAAGATCCAAGCCCAGCCTGGTTTACCACCTACGCCGTGCATATTCTGGATGGCCGCAGCAAGAAGTCCGGAGAATGCACCGGAAAGGGACGCGGACGAGAAGAACAACGCCACGCTATGAGGAAGTTTAGTTTGGAAAACGAGGATAAGGGTTGTCAAGCCTACCGGAGCGACAGTTCCTCCCGCGTGTAGAAGCCGGAGAGGTACAATACGATTCCGGGGAACATAGGACCTTCGACAAGCCCGAGGAACGCCCTAATAGTGACCAGTCCCGCGTAGGAACTCACGACGCCTATGGCATGCAAAGCGTAAGTACGGGCCAAACATACGAATTAGAGTCAACCTGATGTATACCTTGCAGAGCTACAATGACGCCCCAGATGACCAGAAGCAGGGGCATCAGTAGGCTTGGTCCGATCTTGCGGAGTAACAAGTTGGATGGAAGCTCCGCGACGATGTAAGGTCTAAGGCGTTTCTTAAGAACTACTGGAGCAATGATGTCAAACTAAAGATGCCTACATATAGGTTACGGTGATGGCGATCTGGTACTGGTGGTCAGTCATATGCAGACCTTTCTGCATACCTGCGACACGCGCATTGCCTGTGGAACTGGTAAGAGCAATTCACAAATACCAATGCAAAACCATTACCGATATTGGCGCGGTCCTAAATGCGGTCGTATTAGCATCAGCAAGAGAATATGATGACAGGAATGGCGTACGAGGAAGGAGAAGAGGTAGAACAAAGTGACGAGAGGCAAGACTGTCCAGTCCAGACGACGGACTGCCCTCCGCTCCTCTGCGTCATCATAGGGTATCTTACCTACGCTCTCGAACGAGCTCGTCGAGATGGCTGGGAATGGGTGCACGGACTGGCCTGACTCGCTGGACATCCTACCGACAGCAATCTATGGACGAGAGGCTCAGCGTCGGGGGTGGTTTGGACGAACGTCGGCCACTGCGGGTGGGTGCTTTAAAGATTTTTTGCCATTCTGTCTGGCCCAAAACGGAATGCACGACTTCTGAGGAAGATCACCGGCCGGGATCTCAGGACACGAGGCCTGGGTAGGAGCAGTTGCAATCGCGTAATGAATCTCTGGATTAGAGCACGGGACTTCCCCTCCAGGTGGTCGCCAGGGCCGTCACAGAGGCCGTCACAGGGCGCCGAGCTTCACACTTGCCGAGCCGCCCCCTTGTTCGCTTCCCCGGGCCTCGTTGCAGCGGACGTCTGGTCCGAACCGTTGCCCCTCCGCTCGTCTCGGCTACTTCTGCGCTGCTTCTCGCCAACTCTGGACGTCTCAGCACTCTCTACGATGGCGACTCAAAAGGTGGTTGATTGTGGCGAAAATATCTTGGAGGGTGTTCAGACTCGATGTACGCTGGGACACACTGACATTGCACAAAAGATCCAAGACT